GACCCGAAGGTCAAACGAGGGTTAAGGTGTTCCTCAATGACTGGATACAAGGTGAGGACAAGTACTATGAGTCACACTTAAAGACCTGACCACATGATCATGGGCAAACATGCAGAATGAAAAAAGGCAGGGAAGGGAAGACTGGCTGAGTCTACCTCTTTGTGTGGGTCTGGATTGGTCTGTGGTGGCTGTGGATCAGTGGGGTCAAAACTATAGTGTGTGAATGTTGTGTAAATGGTTGAATGTGGTTTGTTGTGGTATTTACCACCTTGCCGACGTACATCACAGAAGCAAGCATCCTGCCTTGTGACCTAGCCTGCCATGATTCCTCATTTCTCATGAGCCCAACTGAGTGGCAGTGTAAGTCCATGGCTTTGTAACATCCCTTTTTGAGTCCTTTCAAATAACAAGCCATCTTACGCTTAAACATGTAACGGCACCAAATTTTGCTGTCTAGTTATGAAAGATCCAGACCTTGGTGGCCTCACTATGGCCATGAAATGTGCTTGGATTGGGATGTGGCAAGCATTGGTTTTATCACTACCTGGAGCTCGCATGTCTGGAGCTTGGGTCCACTAAACATGGGGATGCAGTTTGGGTTGGTTGTAGAAAGGTCCTGCTTATAGATATGATGGAGGTGACAGCTAGCATGGAGGAGGGTAGACACAAAAGCTAACTGTTTAACCACCCTTAAGTGTAATGGGCTTAACTAAACTAAACATTGGTGAAGGGAGGTGCCCACTTGATAACCTCACTGATAGGTTGGCTCTCACTGCTAACCTGTTCCATCAAACTCAGGCTGTGGGGCTTTTTTCAACTGTTGTTAAGAAGATGATGAACTGCTGCTAGTTAGTGTTACTCTATCACAGACTCTAAAGGATGAACTATAATCATATTTGATTTGATAGCTGTGGGAAGATCAGAAAAGGAGTGCAAGCAGTCTTGTTCACCCTGCTTTCTGTCAGTGTTTTGACTAGCTATCTCATTTTTTAGATGGCTACAGTGTTGATCCTTACAGACTCATGAGTGGAACAGCAAATTTCATTTGGAGGATTTGGCTTGGTGAATGGGTCCTGTTCACCCTGTTGGGGTTCCAGTCCACAAAAACACCGACTTATACCTATACCATTCATCCTGTGTCTGTATTATCACTGTAACATTCACCAAATCCATAAAACTGCCCCCTCGTCTCTTTTCTGACTCTGTTGCTCACTTCATGAAAAATGTGCTGTGAGGGGAAGTTGGTGGGAGTGGGTAACAACTGAATTTAGGTACCCATTTCCCTTGGAATCAGAGAAAAAGGCACCATAAAAGAGGCAGTGAGGCATACTAGGGTACAGGGATCTGCTTCTCCTACCTGAGAGGAAACACACACACACACGCATGCACACACACACACACGGTCACACACAGACACCGTACCAAAGGGCTCTCAAGTGCAGCTGAGAGAAGGACAATCACAATAGGCCCCTGGAGATCCCGGGTGACCCCTAGGAGTCTATAATTCAGAAAGGGGTTAGTCAGTCATTCACACACTCGCACAATCTCTCTGAACAGACTCACAGGGGCAAGACCGGCAGTTCATTATCACTGAGAAGAAGTAGAGGAAGAGGAGGGGTTAAGAGGAAAAATAACAGCAGGGCTGAAAGGAGGGCAAGGAGAGGGAGAAAATGAAAAGAGAAGGTGTTAATAGATTTCCCTCGTGACTGAACACACCAAAATAAGCTTCAGTTTCTGTGTTAACAACATCAGGAGCAAGAAACAATTCAGAGAGCATAGGTCAAGTCCATGGGGCCCACTGATCCCAGGAAACCTGTGGGATTCATAAAGGCCCAGAGCGCAAATTAGAAACATTTCATGGCTCATGTATATAAAATATAAAAGTTTGAGTAAAAAGATTTTACAGAATAAGTTTTGGAATGATTGTCAAAGAAGGAGGAAGATACATTGTGCAGGTTAAGGATAAAGTTAAAATTTTAAGAAAAAAAATGAAAAAGGGCGAAAAAATAAACAATCAGAGCCAAAAACAAAATCTCTCAGTGGATCTACTTAGATCCCTTAGGACTTTCACAGGCATCCCAGCCTGAGTCACTGCTGCAGACTCAAGAAATCTACTCCATCCTTTAACTTCTCAAAGGCATGTTAGCAGAGTCATGAGGTGAGGTGAGTCCCTCATGAAGTGGAAGTCTGGGCGTAGGTCACTTTCGCCATCAAAGTACATGGCCAGGAGTGGCACTGTGGTATTGATCTGGCAGTACAGCCCGGAGGTTGGAGGCTGAGGAAAAGTTGTTATACATGGGTATAACTGCCTCAACCCTCTCCGCTATAACAGTAACATGCTGATCTAACTCTGATGCTTTGATATACACGATGTAATTGGTGTAACGATGGGTCTGTCATTCAAACTATTGCAATAAATAATACTTATAATACTTAGTATTTTTACTGTTTAGTAGTCTGACATGTATACAGTCATCTTAACGTTAATAATGGGGACAAGTTTGAAATTCTGTGTGAAATAATACTTATAATACTTACGTATTTTTAATGTTTAGAAGTCCAACTTGTATACAGTCATCTTAACGTTAAATAACATGGACAAGTTTGAAATTTCTATACAGCTTTCTCAGACCAGTTGGAGCATAACAGCTTTCAACAGATGAGTGTGGTTTGGCTCAAAATCTTGTCCTTTTGACTTGCTTTTGCTTTTAGTACATGAACAGCCGGTCTCTGTTCAAATATTTGAACAACTGCCATGACATAATTCCTACAACAGTTTTGCCCTATATATATATATATATATATATATATATATATATATATATATATATCTATATATACACTCACCGGCCACTTTATTAGGTACACCTGTCCAACTGCTCGTTAACACTTAATTTCTAATCAGCCAATCACATGGCGGCAACTTAGTGCATTTAGGCATGTAGACATGGTCAAGACAATCTCCTGCAGTTCAAACCGAGCATCAGTATGGGGAAGAAAGGTGATTTGAGTGACTTTGAACGTGGCATGGTTGTTGGTGCCAGAAGGGCTGGTCTGAGTATTTCAGAAACTGCTGATCTACTGGGATTTTCACGCACAACCATCTCTAGGGTTTACAGAGAATGGTCCGAAAAAGAAAAAATATCCAGTGAGCGGCAGTTCCGTGGGCGGAAATGCCTTGTTGATGCCAGAGGTCAGAGGAGAATGGCCAGACTGGTTCGAGCTGATAGAAAGGCAACAGTGACTCAAATAACCACCCGTTACAACCAAGGTAGGCAGAAGAGCATCACTGAATGCACAGCACGTCGAACTTTGAGGCAGATGGGCTACAGCAGCAGAAGACCACACCGGGTGCCACTCCTTTCAGCTAAGAACAGGAAACTGAGGCTACAATTTGCACAAGCTCATCGAAATTGGACAATAGAAGATTGGAAAAACGTTGCCTGGTCTGATGAGTCTCGATTTCTGCTGCGACATTCGGATGGTAGGGTCAGAATTTGGCGTCAACAACATGAAAGCATGGATCCATCCTGCCTTGTATCAACGGTTCAGGCTGGTGGTGGTGGTGTCATGGTGTGGGGAATATTTTCTTGGCACTCTTTGGGCCCCTTGGTACCAATTGAGCATCGTTGCAACGCCACAGCCTACCTGAGTATTGTTGCTGACCATGTCCATCCTTTTATGACCACAATGTACCCAACTTCTGATGGCTACTTTCAGCAGGATAATGCGCCATGTCATTAAGCTGGAATCATCTCAGACTGGTTTCTTGAACATGACAATGAGTTCACTGTACTCAAATGGCCTCCACAGTCACCAGATCTCAATCCAATAGAGCATCTTTGGGATGTGCTGGAACGGGAGATTCGCATCATGGATGTGCAGCCGACAAATCTGCGGCAACTGTGTGATGCCATCATGTCAATATGGACCAAGCTCTCTGAGGAATGCTTCCAGCACCTTGTTGAATCTATGCCACGAAGAATTGAGGCAGTTCTGAAGGCAAAAGGGGGTCCAACCCGTTACTAGCATGGTGTACCTAATAAAGTGGCCGGTGAGTGTATATATGTACATGGCTTGGTTTGTGCTCTGACGTGCTCTGCCAGCTGTGGGATCTTATATAGACAGGTGTGGCTTTCCAAATCATGTCCAATCAGCTGAATTTGCCACAGGTGGACTGCAATCAAGTTAAAGGAACATTTCAAGGCTAATCAGTGGAAACAGGATGCACCTGAGCTCAATTTTGAGTTTTATAGCAAAGGGTGTGAATACTTATGTATATGCAACATTTGAGCGTCTTATTTTTAATAAATTTGCAAAATGTGCTTTTTGATAAAGACTCAAACATTACAAAGATAACGACCTGAAGGACAACTTGTGGAGAGTCATAGCGTCGGATCTCTCATATGACAATAGTTTGTTTGCTTAAACAGTTTGCTAAATGTCTTTGTTTTAACTTTCATCTGTGCTAAGTAACTTTAGCGTGTAAGCTAACCTGTTCAGATACAACATACTATACCATACCATACCATACCATACCATACTATACCACCTTTTTGAGTCACCCTTAGTCTGATCCCTCCCCAAGGACCTGTGTGCCATCTTTAGGCATAAAGCCCTCGACAACTTAGCTCCTGGGATCACTGGGACACGCAAACCCCTCCACCACGGTAAGGTGGTGGCTCAAGGAGGGGAATAAAACCCTCCCATGGGAGGGAAAAACCCCAAGGGTTTTTGTTTTCTTTGCTTTTTTTTTTTTTTGCTTTATATATATATATATATATATATATATATATATATATATATATATATATATATATTTTCATAATATTATTTTTTTGCTTTTTTAAATATATATTTGTATAAAAATATATTTTCATAATATTATTTTTTTTGCTTAAAATATATATATATATATATGTATAAAATATATTATATATATATTATAATATATATATTATTATATTTTTTTGGTTTTCTTGATTTTCTGGTTGGAGCGATCACTCCTGGTCCATATTGAGCCTCCTTCGCTGCTTGGACTGATAGCGATATTTTGGAGTCCTAAATTGCTTTAATCTCCTCCATTGAGACATCTGTTCTTCTGCACTCTGGAGTATTTCTGCAGCATCGTTCTCACCATCTGATATGAAGGGCTCTGTGTTGGTCTCTTCATTTGACCTTTGGAGGTGTTTTATTGGGCCTTCATTGTAGGCCTCCAAATACTTTCGACTGACTTCCACTAGTTGGTTTTGGTGGTCTTTTTCAGCTCTAAGCTCCATGACCTCTTCCTGGAGTCTCTTGTTGTCTTCCTCCTGAGATGTGAGCTTGGAGGACAGCTCCAGGTTACTGCTTTCTGTTTCTTTCAGCAGTTTATTTATCTTTAGGTACATCTTGCACCTGCTCTGTAATTTTTTAGTCAGAGCCTCATTTTCTTCTTTCAAGGATCCAACTAGCTTCTTTTCCTTGCTGGTAGCTGTAGTCTCTCTTGCTCCAGTTGTATCTTTCTCTCTCTGAGCAGGCTGTCTTTCTCTGACAGGGTCTCTTTCAGAATCTGCTCCATGTTTGAAGCCTCTAAATACGTCTGTCTGACCTCCTCTAGCTGTTTCTGGAGGTTGTCAGCCTTCAGTATTTGTTGGTCTTTCTCTTCTTGGAGCTCCAGGATCTCAACCTGGAGCCTCTGGTTGTCTTCCTCCTGTCTTTTTAAAGAGGAAGACAGCTCCTGGTTGATTTTCTGGCTTTGCTTCAGCTGTTTGTCTAAAGCCATCAGTTTGCGAGACCATTTCCATTCATTGTCCTGATGCATTTTCCACCTGCTCTGTAATTGCCTCGCAAGAGCCTTTTTCTCCTCTGTCACTGTCTTCAAATCACCTGTAGCCTTTTCAAGCTTTTGGTTTAGAGCTGATATGACATCCATCAGCTCCTGGACTTTATTCTCCTCTTCCTCCACAACTATATCGTACCAGCTCTTTGATGCTGTGCTTTCCATCTCTGCTGTCAGTAAATGTTGACTTTGTAGAAATGTTAACTTTCTCTGAAGTCTCTCTGTCACAGTCACTGTATCCAGTTGATGTTGCTGATTTCAGTTCCTCAGCTCAACCCTGCAGACTCAGTGATGTCACGATCTTAAGGGCGTGGTTGTGTAACGTTCGCTTCGAATGTACGCTTGAGATTGTTTTTTTTTTTTAAACTTATTCAAAATATAATTGACATATCTAGAAGTCACGCCCCTTAGTTACTGTTGCTAGGTCCGTCAAGCTTCTTGGAGCTGATGGACTGCCAACACACTACCATGGCAGGGAGAAGTATTCCAGTGCCTGTCAGTGACTTTTTTTTATAACAATACCATCATGAAGTCATTAAGATGATCAGCTCAAAATTTAAACACAATGTCGCAAAAGCAGTAGAGAGATACACAGGTCAGGTGTAAATGATGACTGATAACACAGCCTCTGGCCGTTTCTCCTCCCATAGCTGATGTGATTCACTGCATACAGGTAGTTTTACTATGCAGAGGAGGGTTTTCTTGTCCTGTGTTTGTCAGCTGCTTAGCTCACAAAAATTGTAAACACTAAGATTTGTGAAACTCAAAAGGAAGACGAGAGGGGCAACTTTTTAGCTGTTTGTGAATGATTGAAATTACCCCTAAAAACAACATGTGTGTGCCCTGTTGTTGTCAACGAGGATCAAGGCTAGGCAATGTGGTTGTTTTGTGTTAACAACATATCCACCATCGATGAGTACCAATCTTGTCTAAATGATCTTGTGCATGGTTAAATTTCACAAATGATTTTATTTTTGAGTTTGAGATCCTGTCTAGGTTGGCTCTCTCTGTCCAGCTTGGCATTCTGAGTTCAGGTACTGTTGAAAATGGACTCTGAGTGGAGTGGGGAGACACAAAGCAGAGATGCACAGTCAAGATTTTATCACTTTTTTAAGGTCTGGCACCTTTATACCAGTCTATACCAACATGCTCCAGCAAGACCACTGAGGTCCACACACAAGGGGTGCCATTAAAGAGAGTGCACAAACTCCTTATTGGAAGTGTTGGAATGCCCAAAACCTGGAAATGATGCCCCTAACTTATAGGGAAAAAAAATGTTTTTAAATGATAAAGTGACATTTAGTGTTTATTGGGAGAGGGGGGGATTGAAACACCAATATTTCTACCCTGGTTGATCTTTGGGATGCCAAATGATGTGGACATCCTCACTGCCATCTCCTTACACACCTGCTTCAATACAACCCTGCACAGACCAAATACTTCGGATCAGAATCTTCACCAAGCTTTACACCAAATGCATCCGCAAAAAACTCAGAAATGAACACACAAATTTGCTCAAACACGCCAAGAGGTTGTCCCATAATTGCTTGCTACAAATGCCACTGACCTTTATGCTCACAGAAATTAACAGAGACAAATCAGGATCCATACACACACAATACAACATTCAGTGATAAGTTAAAAAACATTGGACATTGGTTATCATTAGACCCTGTCTGACACTATTAGCATGTCCTGAGTTTCAAAATATTAATAAAGATAACACTGCTAAGCCATGTACGTACTCAAGTGTTCCTGGAAATTTGGAAAGTCACTTGTGTTCCTGATGCTTAGGGGAATTATTTCAGAGGATTACACTGTACATCGACATACTCAAACAATGTATGTGTTTTCTATATTTTCACAGGCACTATAGAAGGATGGAAGTTCAACATGCTGGCTTCAGCCCACTCAGTTTAATTAGAATAGCTTAAAATCTGCTGTGTAAATTGCAACACTCACAGCTGCATGCTCACCTAGCTCTAGTAGGGAATAAGAACAGACACCTTGATTGATTTGATGTTATTAATTCAGTCTCTTAGTGTCCTGAGCCTCATTTTGCAAAATGATATCTGTATGCCAACAAACCCTTATTCACTTTGAACCATTTGTGTTAGGCCATGCATTTTTGATAATTTAGACAGAGTCCTTGGGCTGCTGCGTTTCTTATTTTTAGCCATACATCATGTTATCTTTATAATAGGTTTTATCGCTAAAAATAGTCATAGTTCTGATATAACTTTTGGTCCTGTAACTTTAAGTCTTTTCTGTTATTCATGTCTTTTTTCCCTCAATTTCTATAGAGCTTTCTCAGACCAGTTGGAGCATAATAGCTTTTAACCGATGAGTGTGGTATGGCTCAAATTTTTGTCCAGTTGGCTCTTGACAAGAGTTTACCTTTAGTGCATGAACAGCCAGTCTCGGTTCAAATATTTGAACGACTGCCCTGATATAATTCCTAGAACAGTTTTGCGATATATATACACTCACCGACCACTTTATTAGGTATACCTGTCCAACTGCTCGTTAACACTTAATTTCTAATCAGCCAATCACATGGCGGCAACTTAGTGCATTTAGGCATGTAGACATGGTCAAGACAATCTCCTGCAGTTCAAACCGAGCATCAGTATGGGGAAGAAAGGTGATTTGAGTGACTTTGAACGTGGCATGGTTGTTGGTGCCAGAAGGGCTGGTCTGAGTATTTCAGAAACTGCTGATCTACTGGGATTTTCACGCACAACCATCTCTAGGGTTTACAGAGAATGGTCCGAAAAAGAAAAAAATATCCAGTGAGCGGCAGTTCTGTGGGCGGAAATGCCTTGTTGATGCCAGAGGTCAGAGGAGAATGGCCAGACTGGTTCGAGCTGATAGAAAGGCAACAGTGACTCAAATAACCACCCGTTACAACCAAGGTAGGCAGAAGAGCATCTCTGAACACACAGTACGTCGAACTTTGAGGCAGATGGGCTACAGCAGCAGAAGACCACGCCGGGTGCCACTCCTTTCAGCTAAGAACAGGGAACTGAGGCTACAATTTGCACAAGCTCATCGAAATTGGACAATAGAAGATTGGAAAAACGTTGCCTGGTCTGATGAGTCTCGATTTCTGCTGCGACATTCGGATGGTAGGGTCAGAATTTGGCGTCAACAACATGAAAGCATGGATCCATTCTGCCTTGTATCAACGGTTCAGGCTGGTGGTGGTGGTGTCATGGTGTGGGGAATATTTTCTTGGCACTCTTTGGGCCCCTTGGTACCAATTGAGCATCGTTGCAACGCCACAGCCTACCTGAGTATTGTTGCTGACCATGTCCATCCCTTTATGACCACAATGTACCCAACTTCTGATGGCTACTTTCAGCAGGATAATGCGCCATGTCATAAAGCTGGAATCATCTCAGACTGGTTTCTTGAACATGACAATGAGTTCACTGTACTCAAATGGCCTCCACAGTCACCAGATCTCAATCCAATAGAGCATCTTTGGGATGTGGTGGAACGGGAGATTCGCATCATGGATGTGCAGCCGACAAATCTGCGGCAACTGTGTGATGCCATCATGTCAATATGGACCAAGCTCTCTGAGGAATGCTTCCAGCACCTTGTTGAATCTATGCCACGAAGAATTGAGGCAGTTCTGAAGGCAAAAGGGGGTCCAACCCGTTACTAGCATGGTGTACCTAATAAAGTGGCCGGTGAGTGTATATATATATATATATATATATATATACACACACACTACAGGCCAAAAGTTTGGAAGCAAGGCCATTACAGGCCGAACAGTTGGGAGTAACTTCAAGTTTTTGTTGACAATGTTTTTTTAAAATCCAGCATGAGTTTTATGTATTTTGGGATGTATTTACTCCATGATCAGATATTGCTTTCATGGAAATGCACCATTTTACTCCATTTACCTTTAGATATTCATTGATGTAAACAGACCATTGCTAAATATATGTCAGCATAGTTTTAGGGTTGAAAACATTTGCAAGAGTCACAACTTCAGTGCAAAAGCAAAAAAACAAATCACAGTTGGATTATTCATTTCAACTTTTTGGCTTTTGAGAGTCTGCATACAAATATTCTAATAAATCTCAACTGCGTTCAAACTACCGCAAAAATGGCTAGAAAGAAGCAACTGAGTAAAGAAACAAAAGTACAGATTTGTACATTGAGGAAAGAAGGATACACAGAAAGAGAAATTGCAAAACGCCTAAAGGTGTTTAACAAAGGAGTCCACGACACTCTGAAGAGACTAGAGGAACCTGGAAGTTATGATGACAGAAAAAGACCTGGACGAAAGAGAGTTACTACAAAAGCAGAGGATAAACCTAGCATTGTCACCAGTAAGAGAGATCGGCAAAAGACAGCACCACAAATAAGGGAGGAAATCAACATGATAAGGTCGAAACCCATATCTCTGACAACCGTGAAATGACGTTTGAGAAAGGCTGGTCTGAAGGGTTGTGTATCTGCAAAAAAAACACTACTTTGTCCACAGAACAAGAAAAAAAAAGATATGAGTGGGCAAAAGCTCACAAAAATTGGACTTATGATGACTAGAAACAAGTTTGCACTGTTTGGTTCAAAACGCAGAGTCTATGTCCGCAGACAAACTGGTGAACGTCTGAAAGCACCATGTGTTACATCCTCAATTCAGCATGGAGGTGGTAGTTCCATGGTATGGGGATGTTTTGCAGGTGATGGAGTAGGAAATTTGTTTGAAATAAAGGGTATCATGAAGAAGGAACAGTATCACTCCATCCTCCAGCACCATGCTGTTCCATCTGGACTCAGACTTGTGGCTCATAAGTTTGTTTTGCAGCAAGACAATGACCCTAAGCACTCTGCCAAGCTCTGTCAGGGTTACCTAGACAAAAAAGAAGAGGAAGGTGTTCTTCAAAAGATGGTTTGGCCCCCTCAGTCTCCAGACCTTTCTCCAATTGAGCTTGTGCAGGATGAATTGGATCGATCAGTCAGAAAAATGCGTCCCATGAATCAGCAGTCTCTTTTTAATGAACAGTATCTTTGTTAATGCAATCCCTGGAACATACCTTGAAAAACTTGTGGAAAGAATGCCTGGTATATTCCAAGCTGTTGTTAAAGCCAGAGGAGGTTACTTTAAAGAAAGCAAAGTCTAAGCAACAATAACTCAAATACCT